TCTGAGGAATTGAGTTCTAATCCTCACTGTGCCAATAACCAGCTGCTCAGTCTGTTTATATGCGGAAAATGAGTCCTTGGTCTCCTGAAAGTCAGTTCCATCACTTAAAATATGTAACAGACTGGTATGTATGTATGTATGTTTACACTATTTCTCCTAATGTATCTGTCTTTGAGTAGGAACTCAGATACGGAGCACTACTTATATTTTAGAGTCCGCCAGTTTATGTAATAACAGGTGTAGATAGGACTTAAAATGGATTCTCCCTGGGGACAAGGAGGAGGTTTTTTTTTTTTAATGCAATTAAATATAGTTGTCAATTTATACAAAAAGTGTACAAACAAGTTATAATCCATTTTGCTCTGTTATAATGCTGCTCTGGATATATTTCTATTGTGAAAATTTTAGTTTGCATTAATCATTCTGGATAACTATTCTCTCCTCATTTTTAGAATTGAAATCCTCAGTGTAACAGGATACAAATTAAAGAAACCAAACATTCAATTCTATAGTCTGACCCATGTAATATGTCAGGCCTGCAAACAATTCCATTCTGCATCTACCAGCACACTATGAACCTCTACAGAAATACACTTTTGCAACTGTTTGTAATTTTATCTATTCAAAAAATAGGAACCACCTCCTCTATCCTTTAGTTCAGCAACCCCCATCATTCATCTTTGCTAATGGTTCTCAATGGTGCTTGTTCTCCACAACTGTAACTCACACAGCAAAGTATCAGGTGTCTCAAAGTCCATGGAACAAACTACAAAGGAAATGTTTGTGGTCAATAGACCTTGTCCACTTCAGTTAAATAGGATCACATGGTTGTGAGGAGTGGGCTACTTAGACTCAGCATTTTCTACTTGGCTCAAGCTGAAGAGGTCATTGACTGCAGTGGAAGAGTCTACACGTAACTGACACTCTTGTTTTCCAGCTAACTCATTAGCCTGAACACCCTTGCTCAAAACCTCTACTTTACAGACTGTAAAAAGCAGCAGAGTGTCATTTGGAAAATTAACTCTATTTACCAAGAAAATACATAGGTAAAACAAGGAATAAAGCAATAGAAAAAAATAAACACCTTCAAATATTTTCATTTCTACCACGATATTTCTGCAATACCAAAATAAAACTGACCCATACATGTATTTCAGAAGAAAATACCTGGTTTTTACTCACTTTATTGAACAAGGACTACTTAGCAGCTTACAATTTAGTACTAAGAGCATCAGGCAGATGAAGTACACAGAATTACCGCAACCAAAAGGCCAAGTGCAGTAACATTTAGGTTCAAGATTTCATTTGAACTCATTTGTAACAGCAAGTTTAAAATACCTCCCCCAATGACTAGGCAAAGGCATAGTATACTGTGTGTGCTCTCAGCTGATATGCCCAGCAACTGCGATATTTAAAAAATAAAATGGTAATAATAAAATAAAAAATAAAAATAAAATAAAATGGGTGTAATTATGCATGTTATTTTAACTATAGCTAACTTAAAACTTTAAATAGGAATAATCCATACACATGTAAAATCTACTATTTTAGATGGACCATAACACTTGGAATAGTCTGTACTAAAGACTTTTTCACAGAGCTCTTTAATTTTTTTTATTAAAGGTTTTTATTTATTTGAGAGAGAGAGAGAGATTGAGCATGTGCGCAAGCAGGAGAGGCAGAGGGAAAGACAATGCTGAAGCCAGCTCCCCACTGAGCATAGAGCCCCCACACAGGGCTCGATCCCAGGACCCTGAGATCATGACCTGAGCCAAAACCACGAGTTGGACGCTTAACCAACTGAGCCACTCAGGTGCCCCACAAAGCTCTTCAATTTTAAAAAATATCATTGAAGTGAGACATTGTAAATTGGGGCTCTAAAGTAAAGTAAAGTAAAGTAAAATTCCTTAATTTCAGAAACATAGTCCGACTTCCTAGCTCTGTGATCTGTTGAGGTCACTTCATCATTTTCCTCATTGTGAAAGCAGGTGTAACACCAATACTCACCACATGGGTTGCTTAGAAGAACCTAATTAAGTCACAGATGTAATAGTTCAGTGAAAACCCCTAAAATTATAGTTGTAAATAAAGATTAGCTACTACTATTCTTTTTTTTAATTTTATTTAATTATTTGACAGAGAGAGACACAGCGAGAGAGGGAGTGGGAGAGGGAGAAGCAGGCTTCCCGCTGAGCAGGGAGCCCGATGCGGGGCTCGATCCCAGGACCCTGGGATCATGACCCGAGCCGAAGGCAGACGCTTAACGACTAAGCCACCCAGGCGCCCCTAGCTACTACTATTCTTGAAAAAACTTTTCCTTGCTCTGAACACATTGAACATTTTTATTTTCTTCCTACTTCTGCCCTTCCTTCTCAACCTCCTTATCTGTCCTGTTTTTCTCTCCCAAAACATCAAATGTTAAATTCTCATATTATACAGAACCTAGGTCCTCTTCTTATTCTATTCTTTCCCAGAAAAAAATCTAATTTTACCTCCCATGATTTTAATTACTAACTAGAAGGCAATAATTCCCAAATGTGTATTTCTAATTCAGATCTGAATATACACGTGCCAACTCAACATCTCCACTTGGGTGTCTTGGAGGAACTTCAAACTCATTATGTCACTTCAAACTCATTATGTCTAAAAGCAAACTCACCATTTTTGCCACCCAAACATAAATGTTGCCTATCTCAGTAAGTCGCTCCAAAAATCACCCAGTTATACAACCCAGGATCCTAAGAGTAAACCCTGAAATGTCCTGTTCCTTACCTCCCAGTATGTAACCCATTTCCTACCTCTCCCATTTTACCTCTGAAATACATCCCTTTGTCTCCACAGCCACTATCACCTTCTGAATCTAAAGTTACTATCCAAGAGCCTCCAAATTGGTTTCCCAAAGCAGTCCTACCCCTCCAATCCCAGCATGACATGCAACATCTAAAATGCAAATATAAAAATATAAAACAAAACAAAATAAAATAAAAAGCAAGTATCACTCCTCTAGCTACAACTTTTCTTTGGCTTGTCAGTGCCCTCAGAATAAGGAGCAAAATACCACAGATCATTAATAAAGCTGGGCACATGCCCTTTGTCTCCGCTGTCCTCTATATTCCTAACATCCTGGATGTTTTTCTTCTAAACTGCTAGGCTCTATCCTCCTTTAAGGCCTTTATTCATACCCACTGTGTTCCCTCTTTGGGAATATGAAAGGTTTTTCCCTTCCTGCCCCTGAACCCCCATTTCTAGCTATTTCTTTATCATTTAGTTCGCTGTTTAATCAATACTTCCTCCAGAAAGTGTTTCCTGGTTCTCTGGACAAGGTCAGTTTTATTAATTATACTCTCACAAAGCACTCTTTACTCTTGAATCACAATCCTCAGTGCATTTATAATCACTCTGGAGTCTGCTTTCCACAAGAGATAATAAGGGACACAACAGCAGGCAAGCCTGTCTTGTTTACAACTGTATCCCTTAATCTTATCAAACACCATGCTTGCCAAAAGTGCGACAGCCATGATATTGATAAATGTTGGCTGAATTAATTAACATAAAAAATGTTCTGGTTTAGTCCCTAACTTGATAATGGCTTATAATTTGTAGAGAAATGCACATAAAACTAATTCAAGACAGACTGTGCTAGCTTTTTACAGTAAATAAGCAAAAAAAATGCCCGATTCTATAAGAAAGATAATCAGTTCTGGAAGGGGAACAAATATGAGGAAGGCTTCTTTCTAGTGCTGGGGTATGAATGAAGCCATGGAGAGCTACCAGGATTTCAACAAGCGAACGGCAAAAAATATTCCAGGGAAAGAGAAATTGGGGCAAAGCCATAGACCTAGTCAGGGTATAAAGAGAGACTGTGAGAAGACAATGTGCCTGAGTGGGGAGGTGTGCTGAAATATAGCAAATGGGCACACTGTGAAAAGCTGGAAAGCTTTCATTATCAGAATCAAAGTGTCCCTCAAGGAGGACCACTGAAAACTTCATCACTGAAGAATGATGAAGACAGCAAAAACATGTTAACTGATTAAGATTCAGGTGTGTGGAGACCAACTAGTAAGTGATTTCAATATTTCAGATGTAAGGGGAAGGAGGAAAGGAGGAAAAATAATTCTGCGATAGAATAAACAACACTGCTCAAATGGGGAAGGGGTAGATCATTGACTAAATGGAAAATCAAAATAGAGAAAAGATGGAGGAAGGATGGGAGATGATGATTTCTGTTTTGGAAACCCTAAATTTTATGTCCTAATGTTGACCAGGTAAAGTGTAGACCCAAGAAAGAAGATGCAATTTCAAAAATTATTAGGCTCAGGGTAATTTTAATTGGTCCATAATCAATTAAGCATTAATGCAAAGTCTTGAGAAACATGTCAAAAGTTATTTCACAGACACATTTTTTAAAGACTTATTTATTTGAAAGACAGGGCACGAGCAGGAGGGGCAGAGGGAGAAGGAGAAAGATTCCCAAACATACTCCATGCATGAAGCCCAACACAGGGCTTGATCTCAGGACCCTGAAATCATGACCTGAGCTGAAACCACGAGGGGGACACCTAACCAACTGTGCCACCCAGGCGCCCCTCACAAACATATTTTTATTAATAATGAAAAAATACCAAAAAAATAATAAAAGTTATTTTATGATTACTGCCTGAGTTTTCAATATACCCTATACCTAATTTTTATTTTGTATGGTTAGGGAAAAAGCTCCTTAATTTTACCTTAATTTCATGCTCTTTAAAATAGTTAATTTCCTACAATTGTTGGGATGGAAGGAACTCACTTATAACATGCTGACTTTCTCTATTCAGTAGAAGAATATCCTTTATGTTTAAAAGAATTCCAATCTTTGTAATAGGCTCTGTGCAAAAGTTAAAAGCGATGTACAGAATTTTTTAAAAGGTCATTCTAATTTCAAAAATGTTAACATCTGAAAGTATGTCATCTTCAATTATCAGGAGGATATCTGAAGAATAATAAAATATAACACTTACTTTTGCTGCACCTATCTGTTCTTTGCGAAATTTCTCAAGTGGAGCAATTAATACATCATTAGCGTTTTGAATCTGAAATTAAAAATGAAATACATTAACTTCTGTATAATTTCATGCAAATATTAAAAAACAGATAGCTCCTTTATTCAACATACTTCAGTAAACAGCTTTTGTTCTCTTGTTGGCTTCTACAAATGAAATAAAAATACCTTGCATGTTGTATAGTATTTTCTATTTTATAAGGTTGTTTTCACAAATTATTTCACTTAATTCCAACAATAATGTGAATAATGGACAAGTACACATGTTCAGATCCTAGTCTGAAATTTAATTTCATATTCTAAGATGTAACTAAGAAATAACAGATATTAAATTACAAATACCTTTAATTACACTGGTATAATGAAGTCAATTTAAGCATCATTTTAAAATTGAGCGATATAAAGCTCTTCTATTTGGCACTCTAATGTTATTCTACAGCTGCAAATAAAATAAGGCTCATTTTTTTCTACTTAATTAGATTTCTTACACTTGGGATTTGCCTGAATGTTCATATATTTCCAACCCTACTATAATAGTACCTGATTTCATTTCAATGAACAGTATTTTAGCCCCAAACTCCAAATTGGGATTTACTAACACTTTAAAACAGATAAATATTTTAATTTGGATCTGTGAGAATATTGTGAAGAAGGAGTTTTCATTGTGGGAGCCAGGAACTGAATGCAAGAGACAGACATTTCTAAGAAAAACAGTATGCTGGGAGGAAATCTTCAACTGAAAAAACCTTTAGAAATCACTAAAATTAAACATAAGATCTTAAATGTTCTCAACACACACAAAAAATGGTAATTATGTGACAGCATGGAAGTGTTAGCTAATGCCCTGATGGTAATCATTTTGCAATATATACATGTATCAAGTCAACCTATGCACCTTAAACTTACACAATATTATATGTCCATGATATCTCAATAAAACTGAAGGGATATTTATAGTTAACAAACAAAATTTATAGTTTACCACTGTGATAATATGATCTATTATATAATTAGCAAATGCTAAGATGAAGAGAAAACCCTATTTTTTAAAATATATAACTCTTAAAATAGGTTGAATAATATATAGGAGTTCCTTATATCATTCTTACAACTTTAATGTAAGTCTAAAATTATATCAAAACTCTAAAATTTCAATGAAAGTGTTTTACTTTCACTTATTTTCACTGAACTTACTATTCTCTAGTCAAGTTTTATTTCTTAAATTCCATATCTAAATGCACAAAGATAGTATACACAAAAATAAAAACTAGAGTGTTAGTGCCTTCCATGATTATCATTCTCCAATTCGCAGAAAAATAATATGACAGATCTTGAAGAGAGGACTTTAACTCCTTATATAAAGACATATAAAGTAGATCAATACTCAAAATCCTTTCTAAGACATCAACAATAGACTGTAGATACCTCTGACATCCATCACCTAATACCCATTTGTGAGCTCAGATAGGCATCCCTCCAGATACACTGTGAATGCATCTTTCTAGAGAGAGATGATTGGAAAGTAGCAAAGTAGCTCACTTTTAATTCTCACGCTCTACATCTTCTTTGCCCTCATGAAACCCCAAATACATAAACACACGCACACACCCGTGCATGCATGCACACACACACACACACACACACACGGACGCACACACATCTGCTTTTAAACTTAAGATTTGCATAAGGTGAAAGACAATGTCATGAACACTCATGTGTAATTTGGAAAAATGATAACAATAAAGGCTAACATTTACTGAATGTTTATGTTATGCTGGAAACAAGCATGATATAATATATTTAAAGTTAGTGAATTTAAACAGGGAGATATTTCTCAAGTGGTAAAAACTCCAATAATAAGGATGTTGAATAAGATGATATGCAATAAACAATGAATCATGGAACACTACATCAAAAACTAATGATGTAATGTATGGTGATTAACATAACATAATTAAAAAAAAAGATGATATGCCTAGCACAAGTACATATATTTAAAATCAAGACTACCTGGGTTTAAATTGGGGCCTATTTCTACAAGCTGCTGTTTAACCATTCTGAGCATCAGCTGCAACACCTACCCCACAACTTAACTTGGTTCTAAAGACTAAGATAATGAATGTAAAACACTTATTTCAGTGTCTTAATATTGATATTAATAGTGCTCAAAATTTATAGCTTTTAATACCTCCAAACTGATATAGATAATTAATCTCATTCTGTATTTACCTACTGAATAGACTTCTGTATCTGAATCTACAATATTACCCTTTGACTGAAGTGTATCTATGCGCACATTATGAGAAGGTATTTTCCCATAAAAGTCCTGAAAGACAGATGGCCTTGGCTCTCCCATATCCAATCACTAGGTACTTATGTACATGCCAAGCACATTGATGAGGTCTATGATAAAGGGAAAAAACTAAGGCATGGACTAAACCTTCCAGAAATGTAATGTCTATTTGAGAAGAGAGGAAAATTTTATTCATTCAACAAATATTTGATGCTCTTAAAACACTGCTAAAATATTTGGAAAAATTGAAAGACAAAACTGATTAGTTTTGCATGATAAACTATGGAGAACTCCTTATAAATACATCAGGATTTTGACACCAGTAAACATCCTTGAGAACTAAATGAGTCAAGGTAGGATTTGGATGGTGAATGTGAACTGGATACACTGAAGAGACAAAAATATTCTAGAAACAAGGAACACCATAAATAAAGGCAAGGGGGTAGAACTAAGCCTGATATGTGGGAAGGGAGAGTGCAATGCAGAAAAAGAAAGCAATTTATTAAGCACTCATTAAGAGTCAATCATGACTGTGAGTGCATTGACCTAGTTACAGGCCCTCAGTTAACTTTTGAAAAATGGGAATACAGAATGAATATGAAGTATGTCAAACAGTTCTGGCACATAACATGCTTTATAGAATTAATACATTATTATCAACTAACAAGAACATTATCTAGCTGGAGAAAAGTGTATATATATTTTTAGTAGGAAACTCAGTTGGAATAAGGAAAAGATACCCATAATCTAGGAAGAACAGCCTTAACGTGGAATCCCTGCTGGCTTCTAAACAGAAAATTCATGTTGTAAAAACCTGTTCTAGGAAGCCAGGAATATGTGGGATCGTTTGAGAATGAAGAGATGCCAGGTGAATAGATGGGAGTGGAACTCAAGTTTGAAATAATTAGGTGCTAGGATCAGGTACCTGCAGTGTTGAGGAACAGCTAATAGGGAATGGCAGTGTTCTCAGAAAACAGAAAAAGACCCAGAGGGAGAGGAATCAAAGGGGACATTAAGAGGTTTTGCCTCAGGCACTGAACTTTCGCATCACATTAAGAACTAGGGTAAATGAGGTAAAGAGTATGTTTGAGGGAGAAGGAATAAAGATAATGAATTTCACTTTGGATCTACTATGTTCGATGCCATGAGAAGACTCCAATATTTTGGCAGAATATGCCATCTCAAAATAACAGAGTTAATCAATATGAAAGAAATGTTTTTATTGGGAAGAGAAGGATTAGGAAAGGGACCAATTGATACATCCATATACTAAGACATTGGCACCACACTCGTATCCAGTGGTTTCAATCTCTGCCACATGTAAATATGACCTGGGAATAAAACAAAACCTGAGGGTATAACACATGAGATGTGAATTAACAACCACCCTATGAGGCAGTTATTATTCCTTAACCCAATTTTCTTCATTTTTTTTCCTTTTGTCTTTGCATTTGTTCATTTTTCTCCTCTTTCTCCTACTCTCATTCTATAACGTGAAACTGAAGGAATAAAAAAAAATAAATCTCAGTGTTTTCATCCCTATACCTCTTAAGATGTTTATAAAAATTAAAGGAGAAATACACATTTTTAAAATAACAGGCATAGATTTGACACATGACAGCCTTTTGAAAAATGTTTCCTTCTTCACAGAATTTGCAATGTCTACTATGTGTTCAGTCTTAAATTTCCCAAGATTTTTTTTTTTTTTAAGATTTTATTTATTAGACAGAGAGACACAGCGAGAGAGGGAACACAAGCAGGGGGAGTGGGAGAGGGAGAAGCAGGCTTCCC